GGGCGCCTGGGTGGCTCAGTCGGTTGAGCCCCTGCCTCGGCTCAGGTCATGATCTCAGGGTCCTGGGATCGAGCCGTAGTCAGGCTCCCTGCTCAGCAGGAAGCCTGCTTCTCCCTCTCCTCCCTGCTTGTTCTCTATCTCTCGCTATCTCTCACTATCTCTTGCTATCTCTGTCTCTCCCTCTCAGATAAGTAAATATAATCTTTAAAAAAAGATAACTAGAAATGAAGCTAATATACTTTTCTAAAATTTTGATAGACAAACATTATTGATAAACTTAATAAAAATATTTTTAATTTTCAAATAGTAACTAAATTCATAGTAGATAAACCTTCGTAGACATTTATTGAAACTTATTTTGATGAAACTGATTAGAATTTCTTTATTAAACTATTAAACTGGAGAAAAATATTTTCTTTGAAGGAGAATCTTCTGATAAAATTATAATTATGAGATGATATCACATTATGAGATGATACCAAAATGTGGACAAGCAAAACTGAAGACCACTTTAAACATCTGTGGGAAAAATGAAATGTCTTACAAAAGCCAACAAGATTTATTTTCATTATAAAGGGAAGAAAAAACATAATGAGAAATAAACAGAGTAAGACCATAATTGAAAAAGTAAAAGATTTTTCAAATGTATAAGCATACTAGTAAGATAAAAGCAAGCCAGAATAGAGAATGTTCTTGTAAGAAAACAGATGACTACATCTTACAGCACCTGGGATTTATTTTGGAATACCATAATATCTGTCAAATCCTACATTTCTAGATACATAACATTTTTACTTTGGTAGTGTTTAAACTTACCAAATACATGGCCTTCAAGGAAAGAACAGAACCTATGATATCATTTTTTTAGATTATTTTAACAGTTTGCTTTTTTTTCTGAAGCACTCAATAAAACTATGATCAGAAAGTAAATGTAGGCATTACTGCATTAACATGCTAACAAGCCATTGGTTTAAGCTGGAGATCGAACTTTCTTGCCCACATATTCCCATTGAAAAATAGATTGAAATTACTTACTTTTTAAATAAATGCAGACAAACAATGCTACTTCGTAGTTAAGAAAATTAAGGTAAATCTATAATATGAGTTAGAAAAGATGAGGTTAATAATCTTTAAAAGTAAAAAAAAATGAGGAAAAAAACAGCATTGCACTGAGTTTAGGGTAAAAGAACGGAATCTTCTTTAAATGTTCAAATTTGCCTCCTCTCGAAGATTTCAGTCAACAGAAGAGTTGTCCGGTTAAAAGAGGAAGAGCATTACAGTGAGGCAGACTGACTGTGAGGTGGGTTCTCAGGGCCCTCGACAATACTGTGCAAACTCCCCTGGTCGTGTTCAGTGACTTCCACACTTTCTGTCTCTGGAGGACAACTACTTCCAAGTCTTGAGTTGTGTGTTGGTGGAAAGTTTTTTTCGATCTGACTGTACATGTTAGCTACCGACTTTTCAAGGTCGGCTAAGTTTTTAATATGCTTGAGGATGCCCTTTGGTTCTCTCTGGGGATCTGCACGACACACTGTTGCGGGTGCTGGTGGCTGTGGGACAGAGGGCTCGATTTCCTCGGCGGGTGTCACACTGACAGTGTGCTTAACAACGGGTACACAGACACACTTAATGGACGGAGCCCAAGATGGAGGAGACAGAGGAGAGGGAAGAGGGGGGGATGGGGGAGGGAGGGAGGTGAGTGAAGGTAGAAGAGGTGAAGGAGAAGAAGAGGGAGAAGAAGGGGGGGTGGAAAGTGGAAAAAGTGGAGGAGGGGGAGGAAGAGGGGAGATATTTGGTGGTTTGGGAAGCATTTCAAAAATGTTCCTTCTGGTTTCAACTGTCAACATACATGTGGGTGTCTCTCTCCTAAAGACGGGGGAGTTTAAAATGCAGGGCACTGAAGGAGAAAGTTCCAAGGAACAGTCAGCAGGAGAAAGGATGATACCAGGTTCGGACTGGAGTTCCACAGTTCTTGAAACAGTCAGCAAAGTGGAGGAGGAGGACTGAGGTGAAGGAGAGCAACATGAGGAGTCTGAAGACAGAGATTCCAAGGGCTCTGCTCCACGTATGAGCAGTGGTTCACCGTGCCTTGTTTCTCCTCTCTTGGCAACATTTGAATCTCCAACTGGAGGCAGGGGATTACTGCTACCTCTTTTGTTTGGAAGGGTCTCTGTGGTTTCCTCTGCACCTTCCTGCCTGTGGCTTTGCCATTGCTCCAGCTCTATGGTTTCTGGTCCCCTGGGAAGTTCCCACACTGGTCTCTGAGGGAAGCGGACTGGCTGATTCCACATCCTCTGAAACATTTCTCTTGGGCCCCTCAGGGACTTACTTCGGGCTTGTGTTCTGGGTAAAAATGAGTCTATAAAATCTGTTCTTAGTAAAAAGTCTGAATTTGTTGGTCTTGGATCTAGAGTTTCCTTATAAAGAGTACTGTGGATACTTAAGGTGTCCTCATCAGATGTCAGGGTGTATTTTCTTGCCGACTTGGGCTGGTTGTTCTTAAGGGATCCATCTACGTGAGCCTGCTTGTGAGTCTCAATAGTGCTGGAAGAAGAAAAGGGCATCACAGTGTGGGGACTTTTCCTGTCTTCCAAGACTGACTTATTTCCCCTGCTTTGTTGGAAATGGTAGAGAAGGAAAAGACTTGAAAGAAAAGAAGATAATGAAATGTAAGGAAACAGGTTGTGACATAGCTTTCACGAGAAAGATGTCTTTATGGTTCTCATTATGACTTCAAAATATAAAAGGCCAAATAACACTAATCTACGGAAGCCAGACATTACTTTCATGTCCCTGTTCTCAGAAAGGTAGGGCAAGAAAAGCTTGAGAGCTGTGAGTAGCATGAGAAATTTTCATTTTTTTTTTTCTTTAGAAAAATGCTTCAATCTGTAGACTGATTTTTTTTTTCCCAGTTAGATACAGCAAAGTATCCATGACCACACGTAACAGTTCCCTTATGCAGAAATCATGATTCTCCAAATTGCAAACCAGCATTTTGGCTAATGGTTTCATATCCTTTGCTTTGGCTGGGGGTGCTCAGAGCAGTCTGTTCGGGGGGGAAAAGGATCCTTAGCTGTATCTGATTCAGTAACATTATCTCTCCTCTCAGTCATTCTGTCCTGGAGCTAAAAGTACTCTCCTATCTGAGATAAGCTTAGAAGAGAATACACAAAGGAATTCTCTATTTCCTAAATTAGAGAATTAAAGTCTCCAAGGACAGGTGGGAGAATTTCTCTTATAGAGTTCAGTTCAAAATCACAATGGAGAAATTGGAGTTATGCTAGAATCTGGACAGAGGTTATTCCCTTCCATTTCAATTTTAAGCTGAATCCATTTTAAAATGCTATAAACAGTACAAATAAGAAGAGGGGCTATTGGTATGGATTTTGAATATGGTCTGCATCAAATTTTGGTCAAGACCAACTTTAATGAAAAGACTTATGTTCAAATTACATAGTTTCGATATCCCTGGAAGAGTGGCTCATACACTGACACTGAGCTTCAGTGGCTGAGAGTGATAAATAAAGTCAACCAAGTGAAAGGACATAAGCAAGTGTCTGTAATGAAAGCATCAGGACCTTTCTCCCAGCAAGGCTGGCTGGTTTTCAATAGTCTCTCCTCAGATTTTGCTCTCAAGCTCAAACAGAGAAACATTTTCTTGATTATTGTTTAATATTTACCCACACAGCAGGAATGAAATAAAAGGAAATATTGTGAATAAAAATTACGTGGCCACAATGAAAAAGGAGAATGACAGGTGAGGCAATAAAATGCTATATAAAGCTGAAGTTGTTACTGAGGCATTTCACAAAGATACAAACTACAAAGGGAGAATCCTCACAAGTGGACTTGGGGTATCAGGCCCACCTGGATAATTCAGGAAGGACAGACAATTTGGATTAAGCAGACATCAAACCCTTCTCCTGATCTTGCAAAGTCATTTTTTTTTAAATAAATGGACTTGACACATTATTTGGCAATTTTTTAAAAATAGATTTGTTCTTGGTTTAATTCTTCTTGGAAAGAACTATCTATATAATGGGACCGCATCACTTTTGATTGAGAGACACCTTGAAATACTTTTAACAAATTAAAAGCGAGAATTTTGATACACTTCTTGGGAGGCACAGGTTTTCAAGACACCAAAAGGGAATGAGGTATGGAAGGTAGAACTTTCTTTTTAAAAGGCAAATGACACCATGGTAAAAGATGTAGATTACTATATTTAGAGTAAAACTTAATCTATTCTCTTGTATCTTTTTTCCCTAATGCCTCGTATTAGAATGATATTATTTACTTACTTATGCCTATGTATCCACAGGTGGGAAAGAGAAAACATGCAACAGAAAAAAAAAAAAAAAAAGAGTTTGAACTATAGTTAATTTGAGGTGATTATGAAAATACTAACAGGAACTTGATTTAAACATTTGATAGGTATATCCAGAAAAGAAAATGCATGTTTTTGTATTTTCTTTGTATTTACTCGTAAGAATGATATGTAATAATATTTTAGACAAAACCATATGGCATTTCTTTGGTTGTCTCATCACATAAAATAGCTAGCTGTCCGTTTCCTATACCTAGGTAAAATTCACCTTCAATACACATGGTTGATTTCAATCCCAAAGGAGATATTTTAAATGAGATTCTGAGAATTATTTCTATGTCCTAATTGAAAAATTAGTCCACACTGATTTATAAAGAAGGTATTGATACTGTTTGGGACAAAGTAAATATACAAGTTCTGTGATGACTATTACATAGCAACTGATGAATCTGTATGATGTTATTAATTAGATCATTAAGGTTTTTTTCAAAAAGGACCTTTGATTTTTTTTTCTTTTAAATTTGATAATTCTTTTGGAGCTAGTCTATTTTCTAGTAATATATGGTTAGAATCCCGGTATAAAGTTTTTAAATAGATAGGTTAAACATTTGTTAAAGATATTTAAATGTGCAGAACTCAAAATACTTCATTAAATGCGTATTATAATTGCAAAATTCTCTAAGTCTACCACAATTTTTCAAATAAAAGTAGTCCTTAAGTGTTGCTATTTGAAAATGGTCACCATCAAACTATATTGATTCCAGATGATGTTACAGTATATCTACTTTTGTTAAGTAAAAATGAATATATGTCACTATTTTCAGATAAAACAAAACTTTACACCTAAGTCTTGTTTAGTTTCTGAGTATTTTTTTGCTGGAGAGAGGTGGTTAATATAGAGAGAATCAAATCGTATTGGCTCAATTCCTACATTCACCAGTAATTCAAAAAGAGACCATCGTTTTCAACTCATTAGAAAAATTTAAAAACTGTATTTAAAAGCATGAATCCTGTATCATATTATTTTAGAAATAAAATGCCAAGCACTAAGGTCTCAAACATTAAATTCAATTTTAGCATTAAGATATACAACATAAAAATCAATTTTAACATTTTTAAAACTTCTTAACATCACCTTGTATAATAGTATTAATATGGCAAAGAATAGTGATACATGTGGTTAAAACCAGTTTTTCCATTAAAAGGTAAATTTCATAATTTTTGAGGCTTGCTTTATTCCTACTAGTAAATGCTACAAATGTAACACAGTCCAGTGTGTTTTAGTCCCTCAGCTCCACCAAATTCCAGTTGCTAAAAGGTATCTTGGATTTAATTCAGTCATATTCAAAGTTTTATAACATCATTGGTTGTTGTGCATGTCATGTCCAAAAATAGTTACTCTTTAATTTTTAAAACACAGGCAAGTTAAATAACTCCAAAAGGAATCAGGTTATAAGGGTAGCATCATTATGGGAATATCTGTGAAGTCTTTTCACAATAATTTAAACGTTTTTCAAATGTGGATGATTTGATAATGCTTAGAGGTTCTAAATATTGTGGGAGAAATACTAAGCTATCACAGTAGTCTCTTTTGAGAGGAATATAATGAAAAGCATATTCTTTAAGTGGTTGGATATTTAATATTTAATTCTTCATTCAGGTTTCAGATTTTCATTACTCTGTCTTATGATATCCTAAGATAGTATCTTTAAAAAGTCTATGATTTAAACCATAACATCAGTTTTAAACTACCAAATAGGAGTTGGCTTTTGATACCAAATCAGGAATTACTATTTTATGATTATGCTTTATTTTTCCTTATTTCCTATGAGAAAAAAAAATTTCAGAATGTATTTTTAATTTTGGAGAAAAAAATGTATCTGCATAATTGTGAAGGGTTCCAGATTAAATAGACTATTCAAGCTAGACATCTGCACATTTTGTCTTACTCAGTTTTTAATGGTTTTTGTTTGCTTATGTTTTGGTTATTATTTTTCAATTCAACTTTTCTTAGGTTCTCATCTTAACAATTTTTTTTTTTCTAAGAAAAATGTCGTAATTCAAGTAACCTGCATTTCCGCATCAGGTTGAAATGAAATACCCCCCAGCATCCATCACACCCACCTGTCAGGGCAGCTGCAAGGCCTACTTACATGGTGCTGTCCCCCAGCTCCTCGTACAGGTGCGCCCCGGGGGGAGGCGGGGGCGGCGGGGGCACGGCCACGGGTGCTGGTGCGGGCGCCGCGGGCTTGGCCGCAGGTAAGGCCGACTGGATTCGCGCTGTCTTGGTGCACTCAGCTTGGCGGCTTGAATAAGGCAAGGATGTTTTGGAAAACTCATTTTAGAAATCATGTATGTATCAGTTAGCATACGAACCCACTAAAAACATCAGGAACACAAATATTCGAACTTATAAACTGACAGATTTATAAAAGCATCCCCACAGAGTATCTTTCTCCTATATCCTCTTCCCCTTCAGTTCTTTAAAAGATTTACCCTTGAATAACGGGTAGAATTCAGTAGAAATATATTCAAGTTAAGTGAAATAGTAATATTAAAGGTGGGGGCAAGCTATCTATAAAAATGTGATTAATAATTGGTGGTTATTCAATGGATCTCATAATTGGAAGCAATGCTGAAGATGCATAATGTTCAAGATACATAATTTTTCTTTATCTTTCATCGTCCATCTGTTTAAAGAAGAGTTATTTTACTTAAAATGATTTGAAACATTTTTGACATTCGTTGATAGAGGTTGTGTAGTTTACAGAGGATCTCTCTCCTAAAGAGGAGGGGGATGGCTAGCTTTGGTTTCCTTTGGATACCTAGGACACCCGGGATTCTATCCTTAGAGCTTTGCAGCCCTTTCTGAATGTCCTGGACACCAACAGTTAGTTCCTTCCTCAAAACAAAGATCTCAAAGTGTGGAAGCTATCAGAGCAAAATGCCTTTTTTCAGATTTCCCCCCTTGTATCCCAAAGTGAAAAACCAGCTCACTTCTGTATATACAAAAGCACAAGAGAATTTGAACTAAAAAGTATACACCTCCTGCAGATAGATACAAGGAGTATCTGGGGTTTTTCTTTTCATAGTATGTAAAATCATATGCAAGATGTTAATTATACTTACACTTTAAACCTGTTTTGAAAAGCAATGAGTAAAAAAGAGAGAAATTTACATTAGAAGTGCTGCATTCATAATATTTTAACATCTGATTTATTCTGCATGATGAATAATTTACCGGTTAAACTCATAATGACACAGACTTAATGACACAGCAGGGAAACTAAGTATCTCCATTCAGAAAATCAGAATGTGGGAGCACTTTATTATTACTGGCAACATCACAGAAGCTGTGAAAACATTCATTACAGGGAAACAAAGAAATGAACTAAATGGAGCAAAAAAAAAAAAACTAGATGAAAACATGGAGACATGAATTTGAACTCTGATGGAGAAATGGAATAGTAAAGATGATCGTTGTAATCGGCTTCTCAGCGCCCTGGGTGTGTTACAGGGTTGGAGTCAGGCAACAAGCCCGGATTATACCCTGGGCTTCTCTTTGCAGCAGAGGTTGGAAGGTGCCCCTCCCGGGTCATGAATCCATGGCACTTTCTTTCCATATTTGCCCCTTAACTTTTCTGTGTATAGTGAATTTCAAAAACGAATGTTAATACGAAAGAATAGCCATCCATCCAGTCTTTCTTATAAGCAGAATATAAAAATATGAACGTTAGATGTGTAAATATTAGAATGTTACTTTGAAACATGAGCAGTGCAAACCTCATTTTGTTTAATTCTGTTAGTTTACAAAAAGCTATAACTAAAATGAATTCATAGAGTGTCGATCTGATTACTGAACTAAAAAAAAATTAAATCATTTACAACATATTTAAATGCTAAGCATCTTAGTGGTTTGTTAAATTTCAGACCACTGAGTATAATGTCTAGGATGCTTCGGTTTTGTTCACTGCATTGTGTGTCAAATATAAGAGGTTTCCTCCCTGGTTTTCTTGCTACAGGATTCCTTTGGGAAGCAATGCAATGAACAAGAATAACTGTAAGACAGATTAGATTTAACATGAAAATTAATACTGGCTTGATGGCTTAAAAATTTAAAACATTTGTCCACTCTTAAGTTGGTTCATAGGCTTTAGATTTGGTGTATCAATTGATTTGTTAAGGATACTTCAGACTCCAATATTTCAACCTAAATGTTGTATTTGCAACTTCACGTTGCTTTTGTGATGAAAGATATTCCTATGGCATCTTCATGCAGAGCCTACTTTTCAATTTTTAGGTTGGAATTACCTTGCTTGATTTAATTCAAAAGAAAATTCTCAGTGTTCAAGAACAAAGACAGCAATTTAAGAATATGTAAGTGCTGGTTGAGTCCTTCCTGTAAGTATTTTAAATGATGAAGGACAGTTCTGCCATTATTCCTTCCTCTGTGTTATGTCACTAATTCATATGACTGGAGATCTCTGTTATTTATTTGCATTTTGGGGTACCCTTAGGGCCACCACTCTTCTTAACCTATTCCAGAACTCTTTTCACCAATCATTATCAATATGTTTTAAATGCCTAGACCTCTATCACAAAGGTTCCCCGCACCTAGTGTCAAATAAAGAATAGCTTACTAGACGACTTCGAATACAGATGCTCACATTAGCTGTAATTACTTCACTACTTCGAAGGGCCTAAATAAGACAAATATAGATATTTTAAATGGAAACATTTGCCCGTAGGAATGAGAAAAATGGAAGGCCTCCACAGCCAAAATATCCTGGTCGTATGTTACAATATAGGTTCTCACAGGGCTACCCAGGAAGGAAAAACCCCCATGGAAAATGACCTATGGCATACCATGATTTTTAAGTGATTTTGCCAACACAGATGCAAATTTAACAACATGGATACAATGCTGTCGCGACCATGTGGTTAGGTCGCAGACCCTCCTCGGGACCAGGGATATCTGCGCATGTCATTCCACTGCATCTGACACTCCCTAGGATCCCTGCTACCTTCCCTCCTGAGGCTTGGAACCTAAGAGCACGAACATAGCCACAGGAGCTAACCTAACAGTCCTATCGGAGGAGAACATATTAGGAGCACGGGAACAATGAGTACTCTGTGGGAAATGCTGGAAGTTTGTTTTGATTTCCCTTAAAGGAAGGCCATTGGGTGAAAGAAGGATACAGCAGTCCCCGAAATGTGTGCACCATTCCTGTTTTGGGACTCCAAAGCCATGTCCCCAGGGGTGGCTTTTCGATGATCCCATGTTCTGATCGAGGGATACTTACTGTCTGTAGCTGACCAGAACCACCAAAATGGCAGGAATACAGCAGAGGATGATGATGAAGGCGAGTGCCAGCAAGGCCCCTTCCGTGTAGCCCAGACTTTCTCCTCGCTTTTTAATGCTGGTCACTGCCTCTGGAGTGCGGATCTCCAAAATGCGTCCTCCTTCCCCGTAATGCGGCTGGAAGTCTTTATTGATATCAAGCAGTTTGCCATCCAGAAATCTTTATTGTTAGATAAATAGTGAAGTCAGTGATGTTAACAGAAAAAAAGTTCTTTTTTTAAACAGATTTTTGTAATATCTTTTAGTATTTTCTTTAAAAATATTTTTGTAAACTATTAAAAATATTTTAAAGAAGATAATTTTGTAGTATCTTACTATTTTTATTAAATACTAAACTTTTTAAAAATAAATTTGTGATAACTTTGAATATTTTCTTTAATTGAAACACAAGCTGAGTCTTATGAATTAAAAAAATATATAAAAAGAGCAATGACCACCAATAGACACATATCACAGATATTAATAACAATGACCCTTACTTAATATGCTCACAGACTTGAGAAAAATAATTACCAACACCACTGAACTTAATATCACTCTTGAAATTATATACATTATTAAGTTATTCAGGTGAATAAATATTCTAAATTACATATAGCAGAGTTTAAAATTACATCCTGCATTTTGTCTGCTTGGGTCCTCAATGATCCCGTAGCACAGAATGTTATAATGCTAATTTACTGCAGGCCAGAAAGCTACACAGTTAGGGCCACGGATCTGAGAGACCAACCCAAGCCTTCAGGCTCCAAAATCTCCATTTGTCTTGTATGTCGACACTTTTAAATTCCAAACCTTTAAAATGACATTTTATGGGCAAGAGGTGAACAAATTAAAAGGTGTTTCCTGTCTAGACAGAGAACACTATTATGAATGATGCAGATAGCAAATCAGTCAGGACGACAGGAATGAGCTAATTTAAGCCAACAGTTCTTACAAACTCTTCCTCTAAATAACGCAGTTCCTACTGTGGGCATCGCATTGGGGGGCGGGTAATCAAGGAATAATTGTTACTTAATTTTATTGGATTGAATGATTTTGTGACATATTTTATGTTGTAATTAGCAGGTAATAGTTTTTTTCAAAATTCCTTGGGAACATTTGCACAATCCCTTATAAATACTACAATGTTGATGTAACAGTTGTGTTCTTAATAGCAGAAAGCCACACCATGTCTTAGGTATTTTTGTTTTTGAATTTTTAAAGATGTTCGTCTATAAAAATCAAATGTCTTAACTATAGAATATTGGAAAGCACAGAACTTTCCAAAAAGCAAAATTACTCATAGGCCCCCAACACAGAGGCTGCTCACATTTTGGTATATCCAAATTGAACCTTTCCTAAAAATATCTTTTATTCTCATAATTACACAGCATATACGAAGTGAAAACTATTATTTTAGAAATATATTGCATAATATAAGCCTCCACACTTATGTTGAAAATGTGGAAAACACAAAGAAATGGGAAAAAAATTTTTAAATGGCCTCAAATTTCACCATCCCATGATAACAAAGTGCCCCATGCTTGTTCATCTTACAGTCTATTTTATCCCTTTTGAGATTTTTTAATTTTCTGAATGATCATGCTGACTTTATATCTGCTGCACAGTGTTCATAGCTTCCTTATGGAAAAAATAAAGAGATGACCCATATCAGATACGAATTCCACTGGATAGTTATTAGACTTGCCATTTAAGAAACGCAATGGCTTGGATAACTCAATTTTAGTTTGAAAGGTGCACATGTTTTTACTCAAGTTTTCATATGATAATATAAGGCAGTTAGAATTTTTGTTGTTTTTTGTTTTTTTTATTTTGTTTTTTTACAAATATGCTTTTGTAGATATAAAATATACTTTTATAGCGTTTTTCCTAGGTTATTTTTAGGTCTGTTAAAAAATATAATAAAGACTGAACCATGGTTCCAAGTGCTAGAATAGAATGGTACCACATTTTGTTTGAATTGTTTATTAGATAAGGTAAGAAGTTCCAAATAAAGTATAGATTGAGTTCTGTTGCAAGAAAACAGTATTAGAAACTGGGAAGAATCAGAAGTAGAGGTAGATCATTAGTATGGGGGAAGAATTCACTCCTATCATGTGGCATCCACCAGATGGACCCATTTCTACAGGATTCTTGCATTTGACATCCCATCACCTGAGGGAATATTCCTTAGTCTTTTTACATTCCAAGAGCTCCTTTATTTTGATATTTACTTTGGTTTATTTCTCAATTTAGGTAAATGCTCTCATTGTTTCATGGAAGAGTGGATTGCTTTTGAACCCATACCTCGTCTAGAATATCCTTCTTTTTGCTTTCTACATGCAAAACAGTTTGCCTGGGTAGGAATTCCTGAGTCACAACGTTTTTCCTTAAAAAACTGTGGATCCGATTCCCACTGCCTTTTGACATTCTATCGTGCACATGGGATGTCTAAGGCTTAGCTAATTTTTTCTTTCTTTATAATCGAGTCACTTTTATTTGTGTTTCAGTGGTATTAAAACATATTCAGACACTTTTCAGTGACACATGACATTTTCGTTGATTCTGTGGGAAAGTAATGGAGTCTTTTCGTTATATTTTTAGTTTATGTTTCTGTAATAACAACTAAAGTGTTTTACCTCAGAGATGCCTACACTTGTCAGGTTGTATCTTCAATGTCCTCTAAATATATTTTGATCTCCTTGTAATTCTTTTTTTTTCTTCTTTTTCTTAGTGTGCCCTGAGCTTCTTATGTATATACTTTATGCTGCCAATTTCTTTTTCAGATGTTTCCTCATTTCGGGCAAGTTTGGAGATTTTCCATACCAAGGTGGAAAAAGTGGCCCCCAAACCTTCAGGCTTTTGTTTTATACTTTTTCTGATTTGCGGACAAAGCTAGCTTCCATGTTGGTCCTTGAAGAAGGACTCTGAGTCCTTATGTGTGTCTAACTGACACACAGCCAGGCAGTGAGCAGAGGACTGGTGTCCTGAGGGGGAGGCAGTGTAGACCCCACCACCAGCACCATGGTGGAGAGCATTGGTGGGGTTCTTTCACCAGAAACAGGGAAGGATTCAGGGCTCCTCAAACACACATACCATTTCACTGTACCATACGGTCTTGCTTTCCATTAAAAACGTTAAACTGTTTTCCAGTGGTTTCTGGAGGAGAATATTTACAGAGATAAATTCTACCTCTGAGTCATCAGGATGTTATTTCTTTTACTTTGTTTTTCAGTATTTATTACTGATCCCATTTTGCCCCCTGCTTATTTATCTTAGGAAGGAGATCTATCTGTTAGATCTGCTCTGTTTTCCTTATGAGTGAGGGACAGGTGAGGCTAGGTAGGGAGAGAGAGGGAGGGGGCCATAAGATCAGGCTCACAAAATTCAAAAGTGTAGATGAAAGGAATCCATAGATCGGGGAACAAACCAGACCATCCTGTACTAGGTATCAGAGGTGGGTCTTGTTCCAACAGCTACTTGTGACCAAGAAAATTAGCGACCCTAAAAAGGAAGTAAGCCGCTGAAGCTGTTACCTCTAGTCCCTGCTCTATGGTGGTAAAAGGATTTAAGTTCCCTGGTTAACTTTCTATAGAAGACCAACCCTAAAAGCCCTCAGTGGCAACCCGGCCAGGACCCCTCTCACTCCTGAGAGCTTTTTCTGTATCCTTGCTTAACTTCTATCACTTTACTCACTCTCCTTTGTCCTTGAGATTCATTCTTCGACTCTGTGAGACAAGAACCTCGCTCTCCCAAATCACTGAAATGCAGTAAATTCCTAAGCCAATTCCTTGTCTTCTGATTCACTGTGCTGATGGAACACATGCAAACACGCATCCCTGCCTCTGTTTACTCCTGTGGGTCTCGACTGTCAAAGTATGGTGTGTAAGCACCAGCTGACCCTGCATTTTACCTTGATGGTTATCATAGTGCAGTGTACATATAAATGTAGAGATAAAGGGGAGGGTGAGCAGGAGTATGCACTCTGTACTTCACAAAACCCTGAACCTAGATGGTAGAGGGGTGGCTACCTCTTTTCCTGGTAAATACCCTGTTTCTGGGTTTCTGAAACAGGCATACAGAGGGAGTGATGGTTAATACATCTGCCCACATCCATTCCACCTGGATAAGGTTGTTTTGCTTAATAAAGCAAATCACGGGTAGACCACTATTTCCTTTATACAATTCCAAATTATAGACTACTTTATATTCCTTAATATATATCATACTCTATTTATAGTAAACTAGAGTATAATATTAGTTTTCCATTATTTAATTTTTCACTATTCTTAATTTTTATGTTTGTTTTTTTTTTTTTGCCCCTGGTCTTAGGAATTTGAAAGAAGCTTTATAAGAGCTTGGTAGTCAGATTCTATTTTAAAGTATAAATGTGTTATTATACGCTATATTGTAAATGCAGTTTGTAGAGTGTACAGGCCCTTCCTACCTTCTCCACTTCTCGTTTACCATCTGGACAATGTTAAACAGGCTGGATGTATAAAAAGGTGCATGAGCTAAAACTGTATTTGCTTTTTTTAAACAAATATTTAGTTAAGTTCTATTTTAAAGCAATATGATTTGTTTCTGCTAAGGGTGCAGAAAGCCATAAGAGCCTGTGACTCCCACCCTAATGACAAAAAAGTCGGGTAGTATGAAAATTGTAACTTTTTTGCAAGCAAAATGCCAAATGGCAAAGAGTGATAGTTTCCTCCACAGGGACATGAGACCGTGCACTGTTTCAGCTTTCACAGAACGAGGAAAACGTGGCGGCCAAAAAAGCAAATAAAAGAAATGAGCTAAAATGTTTTAAAGATTTATTCATTTGAGAGAGAGAGCACAAGAAATGGGAGGAGCAGACTCCCTGCTGAGCGCAGAGTCAGACTCTGGGCTCAATCCCAGGACCCCAAGATCATGACCTGAGCTGAAGGCAGATGCTCAACTGACTGAGCCACTCAGGCACCCGCAAATGAGCAAAATTTTAATAAATTTTTAGAAGCTAAGTGTGTACCAACATGCAAAGTTGGCATAAGAGATCCATGAACTCAAAGTGGGGGGTTGGCGCTGTACTCACTTGCAAACTGTTTTCCAAGGGCCCCGATAAGATAAACTAGGGACAAGGCTGGAGACAGGAGAGAAATCCCCTTCTAGTGCAGGGTTAGAGAGAGCAAGCAGCTAAGGCTGGAGCACCTTGGAATTCTTCGGACCTGTATCGCTTACAAAGCAAGAGCCTTAAGCTGCAGAAAGAGGGAGAGGAAGTATCCCAATCCCTAGGGGTCAGGCTAAATCCACTGCTTCTGGGGAAGAGGTATAAGCAACAATCCACTCCATGTAGAGGAGGAACAGGCATTCTCTTGGGCCGAAGACCCTGCACAGAGTAGAGGTTTCCTACTGGTCGGGAGGGGCAGGGAACACTCTGACACCCAAGACACACCACAAAGATGGTGTAGTGAGTAGCTGCCATGGGAAGGACGGGGGAGAAAAGCGAGAGAGCCTCAGCCCACATCCCAGGCACTCAGGCTAGACAAGGAGAAGAGAGCCACCCACCCACCTTGCTGCATGTTCACGGTGAGGGAAGAGCCAAGCAGTGAGCAGGCGCAGTCTGCCCCGATGAGAGGGGTAAGAGAATGCAGAGAAGTTCCCAGGGCCTGCAGGGAGACCCAGCAGTGGAGCTAGACCAGACACAGCCCAGATGCTGGGACATCAGACAGACTTTGATACACCTCTGCTTAGTATTACAGAATCTAGCAGAAAGCAAACAATATGCTTGAAGCAATGGGAAGTTCAATAAAGTGGTAGGAATCGTAAGAACCAAATGGAAATGGAAGCTTTTTATTTTTTAAAAGATATAAAGATGAAGAATTCCTTTAATGCGCGCATCAACAGGCTAACAGATGAATCCGTGAACTTGAAAACAAGGCAACGGCAATTATCTAAAGGAAAGCACAAAGAGAACAGAGGGCGAGGAGAAGAAGACAAGAACAGACAGCATCCAAAAACGTGGAGAAAAACGAATTTTAATTGGAGTCCCAGAATGAGAAGAAAGAGAATCTAGATTATAAGAAATACTTGGAAAGATAATGTCTAAGGATATTCTAGAAATTGAAACAACGTAAAAAACCAAAAACAAACAAAAAATGCAGATTCAAGAAGGTCAAAGAACCACAGCAAGAATCAAAGCAGGATAAAAGGAATATATATTTACTGCAAAAAAATCTAGGTGATTCAGATAACCAAAAATAAGAAAAATCAAAATACTCATAACCTTGTAAAACAAAGTCATTAACATGTCATTACAGTGATTCCGGTCTTCTCTATGCTTTCATAAGCTTTTAAAGAAAAGTTTTGATATAGTTAAATCAGTTTTTTTTTTTTTTAAAGATTTTATTTATTTATTTGAGAGAGAATGAGATAGAGAGAGAGAGCATGAGAGGGGGGAGGGTCAGAGGGAGAAGCAGACTCCCTGCCGAGCAAGGAGCCCGATGCGGGACTCGATCCTGGGACTCCAGGATCATGACCTGAGCCGAAGGCAGTCGCTTAACCAACTGAGCCACCCAGGCGCCCTAGTTAAATCAGTTTTTAAAAATCAAAGTGAACTCCTCTGAGGAAATACCTTTTTTGTTTGTTTCTAATTCTTTGGCCCGGAAATTCCAACATCCTCAAAAGCTTACATTTTAGGATCAGGGAAGTTGAAAATATAATCCTATTTCCGTTATGTGATAATCTTAATGTTCTAGTATATTTGTTCAGTGTTAAAAACTAAATTTTCAACAGCTCTCCTAACTACAGGATAGATAATATCAGTGCATTATGAGCCTTGGATTATGAAATATATCTTTATAATTTCATTATAAAATGTTTTGAGGAACAAGTCTGGGTCTTAGGTTACTATATTAATAATTAACTAATAATATATTAGACTTATATTATTATAGTGTCTCTCAGCTACTAGCTCAAGCTGCTAAGGGAAACCTTTAATACTTCATGGCCATTCCATCCTCTTTTCAATACAGAACATTTTGATTTACAGTTATTCTCGATTTTTCCCTTCTTTCCTGGCTATTATAGTTATTCAATTGAATTTCTATCTTTACTCTTTACAATATGATCTAGGTTTGGGAAAACTTGTTTAGAATGAAGGATGTTTATCTTATACTTCCCAGTGTCAGTTGAAACCCAACTGGCTTCAGTTTCCAAACTGTTCACCTCTGAGGCGTTTACATGTGCAATTCAGATGATGATCATCATTACTTTACTCTTTAAAGCTAGACTAACAGCCTAAAGAAAACAGATGTTTCCAGAGTTAGGGAAAACACCCTGAATTCAAACAACCTATCATCATATTTAAAAATAAAACCAATGTATGTAAAAACACAGAATGCAGATGGGTTTAAGTAAATGTTAATAATGACAATAGAATATATGTAATTTTAAAGTATATTTCTAAATGAATTTTAAAATTAATACAATATGCAAAAATTGGCTTAATAGATCTAAAATGCTACTTCATCTGGATGTTGGTTCTAGAACTTGAGAGGGCGCTGCTGCTTAGTCATCTCTACCTCCCCACCGTGATTAACATACTATCTTGCCCATGGCCCAAACAGTTATTAAATTTAAGTTGATGAATAACATACTTAATAACTATGGCTCTTTTATAATTAAGTTGCTATTAAATCACTATTTCATTGTTGCTAAAATAGCAGCAGTGAAACTTTGCTCAAGAACAGATTTAAATTCAGAACAGACTCAACTCAGAATGTATGGGTTTTAATAGATAAATAGATATTTGCTGAATACATAAATGCAGCCACATATGGATATATTTGTAAATTAGTATATGCATATATTTATTTAGTGCTCTTGAGTATATATGGAGAAAGAAAAACTAAAATCTGAAATTATGGATTTGGGTACATATATATATACAAATACCAATAAATATTTAGAATAATATATTATTAAGTAAAAATGTATTTCAATTTAAATGAGAATTGCATGCCAAGAGTCTGGTGGACACTAGGTGTCACTAAAGCAAAGCTCAAACTAACAACAACAAAGAGGTAAGCTGTTCTAAAATGATTTCCAGGGGAGAATGCATAGCAGCTGTTTTGCTTAGAATTCTGCATTTTCTTTATTTATAGGATTCATAACTCAAATATTCAAATTCACCAGGATGAAATAAATAGATGGAAAGTATGGACTGAGGTGGAAGGGGTTATCCCCTTTGCCCCCCACTCCCAAGTCAAGGGGAAAAAAAAAAGAGAGAGAGAGAGACTAATTTTTGCTGATTCAACCTTGAGGAAAGCTAGATTTATTCTTCAAATTCATGCCTACCAACATTGTTGCAGGCTGATACCTGAAGAAGGAATCTGTGCTCTCCCCCTCCGGACAGGCAGGGCGTGGGAGCAGGAGTGGAGGTCTGGGGTCATCTCTGTGGACTGCCCCTTGCTCCTAATGGACCTTCTGACCTCCAAAGTCACTCTCTCCCACACCTGGCCCTGAAAACGTCAAGGCATGAGGACCCTAGGTATGGCCTTTGATTTTTTTTGCTTACACTTCACTTTCAACAATAATTTGGGTGATACTGTCACCAGGGAGCTGTTACAGACAATAAAATGACTTACTTAAAAAGCTCATTTCTGTCTATGGCTCGGTTGGTCTGGGGGTCGACTGCGTAGACAGTCAGGTCACATTTGGTATAATCTTCTAGAGAAAAGGCGTCCCCATGCCTGCGAGCACCAATGGACTCTACCACCACCTTGGCACCGGGAATTTGCTCCTGAACATAGCGATCCAAAATCCTATAAATCAAACAAAGTACAAACATGACATTCACTCTCAACTTGAAATGACATTTAGTAAATGAAAAATGATGACAGCCTGGTTTTTGCTAACGTTTACTGAATATGAACACTTGAAAAAAACTTCTATTTTTTCAGCATTTAACTCCCAGTGATGCTAGAAACTGAATAAGGTAGAAAGAGGTCATCAACCATGTCCTGTTTAAGTCAAGTCCAGACTTTTGGAATTTATGATACCACTTGAGCTCTATGTGTCTCATGGGAATTGCCAACTATATTGTACAAATAATAAACCTACCTATGGTTTATAGGAGGCAGGGGGTCTTAGAACTCTTGTGTTCACATGGTTGGTGTTACAAATTGTACGTTCCACCAGATTCTGTGATACATGGTGCATGGACTGTGATACAAGGTCCAGGACTAGGATACCTGTTTCCCTCATGGTATAAAAACTCAGAGCATTACAGCAATGAGAAAAGGGAGAGATGTTTTACCAGGTTAAGAAAAATATTGCATGCAAATTTCAGAAGCTATTTAGGTGAATACAAACAACGAAAACATCTATCATTTGGTCTAGAGTCAACAATATTCAATAGAAAGGACAGTAATAATGTTAACCTATAGGTAATTTCTGGAAAATACAATTTTTCCTAATTGCGTAATTTGATTTTAATCGGAAGCACAAGTTATCGCCATATAAGTGTCTGTGGCCTCTATCATCACAAATGACAATTTCCTTAATGTCTTTTCCTTATTAAAAACTTTACATTATTAAGCCCCATGGATTAACATCAGAATCTATATTATTAAATATTTATAGACATTCAAATGTAAATGAATTGATTTTAATAAGTAGACGCAGCAAATATCTTTACATTTATCTACAGATTCGATGCTCCATTTGGAGTCCATGTTGTGAGGCCCTTTCCAAGGGGGACAGTTGGGGCAATGTCATCTAAAGCCCTTTAATACATCGGAAATAGGGGCGCCTGGGTGGCTCAGTCGGTTAAGCGACTGCCTTCGGCTCAGGTCATGATCCCGGAGTCCTGGGATCGAGTCCCACATAAGGAGCCTGCTTCTCCCTCTGCCTGCCACTCCCCCCTGCTCATGTGCTCTCTCTCTCTCTCTCTCAAATAAATAAATAAAATCTTTAAAAAAAAAAAACAAAACATCGGAAATAGCTTTTAATTCAGATGCCCAAACTGACCCGCTTTCCGCTCTGTTAAAAAAACGTTTCCTTAAGGGTCTGGTGTGTGTTTGGTCTGCGCTGCCAGAGAAGCAGCCTGGGGGACATGGCAGCATCAGTGAGCACGGGGGTATGGCCCACACCAGGGGACGCGACCCATGGTGGCGAAGCGCTTTTTCTGTTGGCTGTCATTTCCTTTTTAATTGTGTTTGTTTGCTTTCAAATGTGTAGGGAGCAGCATAGTCAAAGTCCCCCTTCTTAAAGTATGATTCATCCTTGTCCTTTTCTCAGCAGCTGACACCCACTGGTCCGTCTGCCTGATAGGATCTCTTCTGATGAGATCCTTGCTGAGGAATAAAGAAAAGAAAATGTATTCTCCCCAGAACCTGAGAATGGCTACACGAGGAGACACAGACTGTGGGACAGTATTTAGCCGGTGTTTTAGGATTCTTTTCCTGAGACAGTTATGCTCCCTAACCAAAAAACAACAACAACAACAACAAAAAAAAAAAGGAAAAAGAAAGAAAGGCCTTGAAATCAAACCACCTTATACTCTTGACAGTTGATATAGGCATGAATGGGAAGAACATCCACAGTAAAGAGCTCAGACGTTTGGCTTCAATTTTCAGCTTCTTTATTTACAAACTGAAAAATCTTAGACCAGCAAGAAGCCATCAAAGGCTCAGACTCCTTAACCACAAAAATGCGGAAGTCATCTGCCACGTGGGAGGACTGTGTGCATTAAATGCGCAAACGCTTATAGTCAAATCTCTGCACAGTTTTGAGCACATAGTCACTGTTCCATAAAATATGATTATGCTTATTATTAATTTGGCTTAAAAGTTTGCATTTATAAACTTCTCCCCTGCCTCTAATTCATTCAAGACATTTAATGAATTTGTGGAATTGTTAAGAAAGTATATTTCTCACTAGTAATACTAGTTCACAAATCAAAAACCAAATATGAGTACGTTGTGAAAAATACTGCAGAAGGTGGCTATCTGTCCCAGTACTGCACTTTAATAATTTATAACTGCTGCAGTGCATGTACACATTGATTAAGTATGTTCCAAAGAAATCACTTATATATGCATACACTATGTTTTCCTACAATGAAGAAACTTGTCTATTGAGCTTGTGTCTTCCTGTACTTGGGGGAATATTGCCGACTCACTGTGACTAAAACTTTAAATGTGGAATGAAATACAACTGTACCAATTGCTTTATCACATCAGGGAATCACATACCAATGAAGTCTAAAAATGCCTTATATCATTTAAAACATGGAACAATGTCTTCTCCCTGAATTCTTTTCTCTTAAAACTTTGGAGATCTTCTGGAATGAAATAGCCAGAAGAAAAAGGTGTCCAAACTTGAACTCTTTCCTTACCTTTTCTGATAAATATATGTTAAACTAAATTTAAACCTTTTTAAATGAGAACACATTTTGTAAAAATCTGTCTTTCCACTTGCCATCTACATCCATAGACCTAAGCATGTCTGCCATGTCTGTCTCTGTGTCTATTACCTACATACATGAATATATTACATATATACATATATATGCTATTCAAAGGATGGCTCTTTAGCCCTTGATCTTCAAATGCACATGGGTACATTGTTGCTTCCTAAAGCAACTGAGCTTATGATTTTTTTAGTCACTTACTTTGAACTGACTCATATAAATTAATACCACTGTTTAAATTACCTTTATGTTTTGCTTTAAATTATTAATATGCAAGCCAATTCATACATACAGTTTGGAATCAAATGTCATGAGAATTTACTACATGTAAATTCATTAAGAACACATGTCTCTCTCCAGCCTGTCAGTCTAAATTATTTACACACTACGAGTATACAGAGACAGAGAGACCTTCAGTGTTGCTTATCTGTAACACCTGTATCATGCATATCCCCCTATATCAAGGGAGATGTCTGCAATGACATTTATATAATGTTAATAATGCTTAGGTTCAGGTGGCAGGATTTTGAGTTTGCCATAAAACATTCACGGAAACTTGCCTCCTTATATTATGTTGCTTGAATTTCTCGTAATGGGCATAAGAAAAGAATATGGTCATACTTTTAAAAACTCTTTAGCTCCCCACTTCCTCTTTCCCAACTTTTTTTTTTTAAATATATATTTTATTTATTTATTTGAGAGGGAGAGTGAGCGAGAGAGAGAGAGCACGAGCAGGGGGAGAGGGAGAAGCAGGCTCCCTGAGGACCTCGGGATCATGACCCCAGCTGAAGGCAGACACCTAACTGACTGAGCCACCCAGGCGCCCCTTCCCCAACTTAAGAAAAAAAATTATTTTGGGGGGCGCCTGGGTAGCTCAGTCATTAAGTGTCTGCCTTTGGCTCAGGTCATGATCCCAGGGTCCTGGGGATCGAGCCCTACATCGGGCTCTCTGCTCAGCAGGAAGCCTGCTTCTCCCTCCCTCACTCCCCCTGCAAGTGTTCCCTCTCTCGCTATGTCTCTCTGTCAAATAAATAATCTTTTAAAAAATATTTAAAAAAAAAGATTTATCTATTTATTTGGGGCAGGGGGCAGAGGGACACAGAGAGAGACAGAATCTCAGGCAGACTCCCCACTGAGTACAGAGCCTGATGCCAGACTCAATCTCACAACCTGAGATCAGGACCTGAGATGAAACCAAGAGTCGGATGCTTAACCGACTGAGCCACCCAGGCACCCCAAGGGAAAAAAAAAAATCTTTATATACATTTTCAGAGTTTAAAAAAATATATATAGAAGATTAAGTTGGAGTTGGAGTTGTCTAATAAATTTATAGCAAAACTCAGGTAAGTGGTTAGTGGGAAATTTTCATTCACTCATTCATTTATTTTCATTCATTCATTCCATAGATATTTATTGAATGCATACCACGGACCAGGCACTGTTCTAGACACTTGGAATATATCAGTGAACAAAACCAAGATCTCTGATGTCACAGAACTTGCATTCTAATTAAGCAAGATAGATAAGATAATAAAATAATAAAATGTGGGGTGCCTGGGTGGCTCAGTTGGTTAAGCATCTGCCTCTGGCTCAGGTCCTGATCCCAGAGTCCTGGGGATTGAGCCCCCGCATCGGGCTCCCTGCTTGGTGGGGAGCCTGCTTCTCCCTCTCCCTCTGCCTGCTCCCCTTGCTCGTGCTCTCCCTCTCTAATAAATAAATAAAATCTTAAAAAAATAAAAATGAAAGTAAATAAAATGGCAGGAATATTTAGGAAACGTGTCACTCAGAAGTCGCTGTGTGAGCAGACTGAAGGAGACAGTGAGTAAATATGGACATCGTAGGCAGGAGCCTTCCAAGAGGAGGAAATTGCTAACCACCCCTCACTCCCCTTACCCCACCACCGTGTGAAAAGCAAGGTGTATGAGTGTGGCTGGAGCAGAGAAGGTGGGAGCAGATCACAGAGGGGCTTGTGAGGACTGGAAGGGCATTACCTTCTGTTCTGAGTAAAACCAGGATCCACTGCTGGAGTTTAAACATGGAAGTAATGTTAAGTGACCTCACATTTAAAGCAAGTAACACTGGCCATTATGTTGTGAACAGGCCGCAATGGGGGCCAAGAGGAGAATCGGGGAAACAAGTTAGTAAAGACTTTAAGGAGATGAAGGACTTGCTAAATGCCCAGTCTACTCAGTAATTTGGAGGAAGAGAAGATACAACGTAATCCCTGATTATGAGCCATCTATGAACCACATAATCAAGTATTAATATCTGTGTATTATTAATATGCCTGGTTAAATGTGCAGGAGGCATAAATCTTTTAAAATAGATCAATAAAGGCAATGCTTAACT